AAACGCGTTGTTGATCGTATTGCGGACATTCTAAATGAATGTGCTCCTCTGACGCATCGACATGGTTGCAGTGCGGGCACGTTCTTCTTTTTATGCGGCACAGAAGGCGAGGCGTGTGTGAAACAGCTAATTGATGATTTGATTTGTGGGGTTTAACGTCCCAAAACCACCATATGATTATGAGAGACGCCGTAGTGGAGGGCTCCGGAAATTTCGACCACCTGGGGTTCTTTAACGTGCACCCAAATCTGAGCACACGGGCCTACAACAATTCCGTCTCCATCGGAAATGCAGCCGCCGCAGCCGGGATTCGAACCCACGACCTGCGGGTCAGCAGCCGAGTAACCGATGGTGACTGTTTTTAATATATCACATATGATGCTATCATTTAAATGAAAATAAAAATCCTTAATTGTTTGCAGCGCTCCTTTCGAGTCACGAGCAAACGAACCCTGCCACACGATCGTAATCATAATCATCATATATCAATGTCGCTCTTTCTCTCTCGTTGATGAATGTGATACAAGCGGCGGTCCTCGCTGGTACACCAGGAAGCAGGTCCGCCACGATACCATGGTTCACGCTGAAACCAAGAAGGGCACGCTTCTGGCCGGACACGTCAACGGAATCGAGAGACGAGGGGGAGCCAATTAAGGTATACGCTCGATACACGCCTATATCGCGCGTCCTCGCGTGGCGACAATGAGCTGACAGGGGAGGATGAAATGACGAGGAGGCGGACACACGTGCGTCCCTATTGTGCTCCGCGAGCCGCTGTTGCCGCTGCTTACGTATACTAACCTCTACGGCTGCTTATCGGAAGCCTCCCGGTCGTTCCGCCGGCGCCTGAGCATCCGCGAGCTACGCAGGAATCCGCAGCGAGGCGCTGGCGGCACCAAACACCGCGTGTGAACGCCCAGTCCCCGGGTCCAAGCGCTGTCGCGAGCTCGGGATGATCGATCACGAGGTAAATGCACCGCGAGCGATGGCGAAAGGGCTAGAAAGAAAGAAAGAAAGAAAGAAAGAAAGAGAAGAAAAGAAAGAAAGAAAGAAAGAAAGAAAGAAAGAAAGAAAGAAAGAAAGAAAGAAAGAAAGAAAGAAAGAAAGAAAGAAGGTAGAGACGTCGAGATGAAGGGTGCATGTAGAGCGCCCCTCGGAAGTCGCACTGGCAGGTATAGATCGGGGACCATGTGAAGTCTTCCGGAAGCAAGAAGATGTATCCCTTTCTTTCCCGTTCGGAACTTTCTTTCCTTTTTCTTTACTTTTGTCTCACGCTTTCGCGAAAGGGATACCAGCTCCGGGCCTTTGCGGACACGGGCTCCCCGGCTATCGTAACCAGCGCCCAGAAAGTGACCCTGGCAGGAAGAAATTAATAAAACCAATGAGGAGCAGTTTCCGCGTCGCTAAAACGGCGGTAAGCGGTTCGGCGCGGGAACGCATCAGACATGCTATCGTTTTCTTCTTTCTTCCTTTCTTCCTTTCTTTCTCATTGTGGAATGTTCCGTCCAAAACGTTTTTTTTTTTGTTTTCAACAACACGTATGTTGCTGCAGGTAACAAGGTACGGCCACGCGTGTCACAATGAATCACAACAATAAAGGCAAAACTTAATTGTAGCAAGGCGAAACGGCGAGTGGCGTTGATAAAGATACATTGCCGAACAATGAACGGCTGATCCTCAACAAGCCCGCGATCAAGGAAGCATTCATTATTGGAAAACAGCGCATACGAACACTCGTGTGACCAGCGCTCCTCAGATGGCTAAGTTTGTGTGCACTTGTACTTTCGTAACTCTTCTGCTAATCTTTCCTATCATTCTTATGCATATACTGCCCGTGGGACGGCTTTAGGCTCTTCTATAACAGAGTACTAAGTACTCTAAATCGTAAACCACTTTTTCTAAATACACTAAAGCCTATGGGACGCCGCCCTTAGTTGAATACCAAGTACTCTAAGTCGTTAACCATTAATTCTAAACACACGCCAAGGTCCATCTCCCGGCACAGCGCTACCTCGTCGTGAGTTCGTTCACGCGTAATTTTCATCGCCACGTCCTCATCAAGTGTGAAGCTCACGGGACGGCCTTATGCACTGCAATAGTCGAGTACATCGTACTCTAAATCGCTAACAACTATTACTAAACACACGCATTTTAAATGCGAAGCATTTCTTAGCAAACTTCGGCGACATCGAACGTATCTATCCCATCCATATATATATATATATATATATATATATATATATATATATATATATATATAGTATATATATATATATATATATATATATATATATATATATATATATATATATATATATATATATATATATAGCCGCCTACGACATTTAGCTCTCCTAGCCGTATTGAATACGGTATCGATACCAAACTTGATATGGCATAGCATGACTGTATGAAGAGTACTAGGGACTAGTCACAACATGAAAATCATGACATGCATGTCATGAATGTCATTATTTACACCTCATGGTCCTGCCACTCTTCAGGTGGTTTCGTTTCCGTGGCATGTTGCAAAACCGGTATAGTATGGCGTGATTGCATGGCGAATACAAGCGACAGACCCTAACATGAAAATTATGACATGCGTGTCATGTAACAACAGGACTACGTTCCACGCCCACGATGTGCTCGCGGCCATTTCGCTAGCATCACATATACCAAATTTAGTATTACGGTACGTGAACAGATCACGAAGGAATGTGACTGGTGCAAACATGACAATCATGAGATGCGTGTCATGTAATAACATGACTACATGACATGCTCATGATGCGCTGGCGGCCGTTTCGCTAGCTTCACTTACACAGAATTCGGTATTACGGGATGTGAATGGATGAAGAAGGTATGATACTGGTGCAAACATGATAAACATGCGATGCGTGTCATGTAACAACATGACTGCATGCTACGCTCATGATGCGCTCGCGGCCGTTTCGCTAGCTTGACATGTACCAAACTCGGTATTACGCGACGCCAATGGATGACGAAGGTATGTGCCTGGTTGAAACATGATAATCATGAGATGCGTGCCGTGTGAGAACATGACTACACGCCACAGTCAAGGCGCCAATACATTTCGACATGACGCGGTGCGCGTGCTCGCCGGCATTCATTTCGTCGCGTCACGCCGGCGTTGCCACGGCAGGCGCTGGTCCTGCCATATACTCGCAGGCGCGCGCCGCGCTGCGTTGCTTTGACGCATGCTCGTTTCTGCGCGTCCAGCGTCCCTCCGTCACGAAAAGAGGGCAGACGCAGTGTTGTCTGGGTAACACATCGGCGCGAAATGCAGCATGTCGCATTTCGCGCCGGTTGCCGTCGGGCCGCGCCGACGGACGCTGGTCGCGCCTGGCGTCAGAGCTCGCGTTTTGCTAACGTAGCGTCGCTGCGACCAGCGTGCGCGCGCGTCAACGCTACGTTGGAGTATATTGGGCCCTTCTAGATGCGCTCGCGACCGCTTTGCTAGCTCCACAAATAGTGAATTTGGTATTACGTGACGTGAATAGATGATGAAGGTACACGAAACATCCGAACATGATAATCATGACGCGGAAGTCATGTACGGCCTTATTTACCTCCACCTCGTAACGTTGTGTTGATTTAAAAAAGACGTATCAACATTTCTCATTCGTGCTTCGCATATCATCGATTCCCACTGCACGTGGGATCTGCCATTTTTTTCTCGATATGCAAAATGCGAAGTGAAAAAAGAAAAAAAAAAGGGGGAGGTGGGAGGGGGCGAAGCAATTCAACGCAGAAAACTCCACTACGGCTACATGTCTTATTTCCGCGACCTTTATTTTGTTTGTTTGCTTGTTTTGAATGAATGAAAGAACGCGACAGGTCCGCTGAATCTCTGTATTTTCACAGTATCCACCTTCTTTTTCTTAACAGTATTTTTCTAGTTTTCTGAACCAGTCACGACTGCACTCGGCTACAGCCATTATTTTGCTTATTTATGTATATAGCTACCCGCACTCAAACATGGTGGAGATGGCTCTGCGGGAGTTGAACCGTGACATCAGTCGTCGCACTTTCGCTTGAAAGCCCGGCGTTGGATTTCCTAACGAAGAAGTTTCACATTACAATTGTATCCTGAAGATATTTATTTCCCCGTTCAACGTATCCACGCGTAAGTTTCACTTCACGTTAAATTGCAAGGAATGATAGGATTGACAAGTCCGCCGCCGAAGCATGTTCTCAACAAACACGATGAACGAGCCCGAGCACCTAGATTTTTCGTACATGTCAGACGAAATAAAAAAACAAAAAAAACATTTCACACGTAGACTCAGCTTGTTCTATTTATGATGAAAGTTAGTGTAAACATGCCCACACATCAGCTGTGTACTGTGGCGTAGCTAACGCTACAAGCCAGCTTATGCTGCTACCTGTCAAACACTCGGAAAAGCGAGCACGGCAGCACGGCATCGATTTGTAACGGCAGGTAGGCCCTCCCATTCAAACAATGAAACGAGACATCTCACTTAGACAAAAATCGTAGAATGGCTCTCCGCTTTATTTTGCAGTCAAAGCCCTCACAACGACGCTGGGACGAGCGATTGGTAACCTGTGCGACAACCGGCGCGCGTATCAACGCACGTTTCCTCATTCTCTCCTCCGGATTTGAAAGGATGCTTCTCCGGGTGAGTCAGTAGAGGGAGACGCCGAACCAATGCCGCTATCCCAGCAACGGCTGTACAGAGTGGTCTCGTTTAAGCCGCAAATAGCTGGGCGTAGTGGTGAATCAAGATTCCTATGCGGGAAGGGGCTAAACGCAACGAAATGGGTCGCCAGACGACGGTTACTAGGCCTATTCGAGGAGCACGGAGCAGTGAGAGTGTGCCGCTCGCCTATCGAAGCGAAGCCCCGCGCCCGTTTGTTTACAACATTCACAATCGGCACATCTTGTTCTTTCACGCGCGCATTTGAAAAGCAGACGACAGTGGAGAGGAGGAATATTTCCGCAACGTCCAGGAACTGACCTTTAACGGTGCTGAAGACGCCGACGAGCGCGTAGGAGACGGCAAGCACGATCCATCGTAAACCACGTTGCTTCCGATGCTGCCCAGCCATAGCGTTATGCTCCACACACGATCAGATCCGAAGTGAAAACACACTCATAGGAGATGCCCCGAAACTCTCCTCGGGGTCGCGGAGTCTGCGAAGCGAAATTTCGGACCCGCGCACTGTCAGACGATCCTCTTCAGCGGCATCACATCGTCGCTAGGCGAGGCGTGCGTTTGACAAGCCGTACACCACAGACACAAACAACTCGCCCGAGCACTCTCTCCGGCCGAATATGGTGGGTCCATGTTGAATTTTTACAGCGCTGTTATGGCAACCGAGTTGGGGACGCCTTCGCTCTCACGAACCAATGAGAAAAAAGGGCAATGCGTGGCGCGCCACTGGCGGTTTTGTTTAAAACTAGAAAGTGCTTTCGGTTTCGGTTTCCTAGTTCTTGTTTCGATTTCAGAATATTCCGTTCGCCTTTCTGCTTTCAGTATTTCTTTTAATTTAGCTGCATGACCTACTACATTAGCGATTGGCAGGCGATCTCATTCGTTGGTTTTATGAAGGGCTCATGTAGTACACGACCTGTTCGCCGTCAAAATATGCACAGGTCAACAGTCACGTCTCAGCAGAAAGATTGCACTTCATTTGTGAGGGGTGAGGGCAATGAACACCTCCCCCATTGCCCTTTTGTGGGGTCACGCCATAGATGAAAAAAAAAAAACATAGGTTCCGCCAGTACACTGCAGAGAAAATTCTGTGAAAGGTTTATAATAAAAGGTCTATATGTGTTGAAAACGCCCGCAGCCTATGAGGGAACTGAAGGAGAATATTGAGCTAGGATATTGGACTAATTAATTAGCACGCTTTGTCAAGTGCCATTTTTTTCTATTGAATGCCTGAACTTTTACCAGGGTACTGTTATGTTTCTTGGTATGCCGTTGCGCGTTCGCATAAACTACCATCATTATCATTGGCCTATAGCTTTCACTTACAATGTTTTCGGATGACTTGTCATTTATGGGGTTAGACATAAAGAGATGTGACGTTACTTTACTGCAGGGCAGGCTGATTTAGACGTTATAGGATCATATGGTGGTATAAATTGGAAATATCCGTAAATCTTCAAAAATGTGTGGGCGTCACTTTTTCAAAGAAACGCATATTTCAGTCTTGCACTCACACACTGAATAAGAAGCGGAAAAATATACGTCTACGTGTTTTTATAACGTATGATTTAAGATGGAATAAACACACTTCGCACGTTAAAAATAAGGCAATACGTTCGCTAAGATTTCTTTGCCGTAATTCAGTCAATTACTGAAAAATTTTGAAGAGCAATGCATCTTGATGTTCTCTTCGGTTTCCTTTCCTGTTTATTCCCTTTCTTTCTCTCTATTTATCTATTCCTGTGTGCGCTATACCCTTTGCTCTCTCTACACTTCTCCCTCCTCACCTTCACTTATCATACAAGCAATATTGAGAGAGATAGAAGAAATACAAATACCGGTAAGAGAAAAAAAAATAGATGCGAGAGAAAATGAAAGAGAAAATAAAGAGAAACAATAAAGAAGGCCCCAGCTCCACCGTTCCTGCAGGCTTGGAACCATTAGTGCGAAACTGACATAGCTTTCTTAAATTCCTTACCGCAAGGAGAGAGATAGTGCGTGCAAATGAAGGAAATAAGAGTTGTGTTAGAACTTGACTTACAGTGCTTTCCCGGGCAGGTTACGATGCACTGTTTTACCTTTACGATGTAGCCACATTCCATTACAACAGTACAGAAAAGTTTGGTTTTAAAATGAAATTGCTAAATTTATAACGTTCAGGAAAAATCATGGTTTGCTAATTCGCTACATTTAGAAATCAGAAATTGTTAATGATGCCCTGCAGTTTTTTTTAGCAAGACCATAAAACACTGCTGATCGGTAGTCGAGACTACCGAGGACACGTGAGCCAAACATTGTAGCGCCGCACACAGCCTGGTATTTACAAACAATTCTCAACGTGCACTAGAAATCGCCCCCTCTTCTTTCGACAAATGATGCCACAAAACCCTAAGGCCTCCGCCTGTGGCTGATTTGAGAATCTTGAGTTGCATAGTCACCGCGACCGCCACGGAGTGGCACCACGTGCCCGGCTGCACCCTCGCGATCACTGAAAGTAAACCGCACGTTCGAAAGAAAAATTGGCAGATACCACGTACAATGGGAATCGATGATATGCGAAGCACGAATTGGGAAGTGTGGCAGCTTGGGCTAGTTGGTATGGCATGACGATAGTTATAGCGCGAAAACAAAACGACGACACAGAGACAAGAAGCACACGAAAGACACGAGCGCTAACTTCCAACTGAGTTTATTGCGCAGAGCACGAAAAATATAGAGGAGACAGTAACCATGTGATAAAAACCATATGACACAAAGAGCAGAACATGAGTGAGAGAAAAACAAAGACAAAAACAGAAGCACAGAAAAACGGCAAAGAAAAATTTATAAGAAAACGAAACAGAAAAGTAAAGATAATATAACTATTTGCGCGTACCGAAACCTTCGAAGAACCTGAGTTCCTTCTCGGACGTCCACGGAGGGCTTGCTAATACAAGGCACCTGTTCACGTGCCATATGCGCGGCCTCGACCATGACTCGGGTGCGCTCATCTCTGTGCTTGTACAGCGTCGCTGTGTCGTTGAAAAGGGGCGCGCAATTGCACTCAGTGCAGTGCTGAGCAAGAAAACCATCTTTCCCGTTTTTAACATTGTTAGCGCGTTCTCTCAGCCGATCATTCAGACACCTTCCGGTCGTTCCGACATAACAAGCACAGTGCATGAAAGGGGGGTCCTATAGACAACTTCCCGGGAGCAGGCCGCGTACCTGTTTCTATGTTGAAATCTGCATTCCGTTGACGACTGCGTTTTCAGGGGGTTTGTAGATTTGGTGAGGCTGATTAATTTGAACGGTGCCTAGAACAGGACACGAACTCCAACACGTTTTCTGATTTTCTTGAGCCTGTGTGATATCTGGTGTTTGTATATGGAATCACGGCTATCCTTTCACGTTCTGTATCCGTGTTACTCGGAATACGTCGCTGCCTTTGCTCTGCCTGAGGCAGCGACAGAATACACTTTGACATACATACGACAATACACTTTGATGTAACACGGCGCGCACGCGCGTCGTGTCACGAAAAAGTGTATTGGCGCCTTGACTGTGGCATGTAGTCATGTTGTCACATGACACGCATCTCATGATTATCATATGTTTGCACCAGTCACATATCATCGTCATCGATTCACGTACCGTAATACAAAATTTCGTACATGTGACGCTAACAAAATGACCGCAAGCGCATCATGAGCGTCATGTCTGCACCAGTCTCATACCTTAATTCGTCAATACCAGATTTGGTATAAGTGAAGCTTGCGAAGCGACCGCCAGCGCATCATGAGCGTCGAATGCAGTCATGTTAATTGTTAAACGACACGCATCTCATGATTATCATGTTTGCACCAGTCACATACATTCGCCATCCATTCACGTACCGTAATACCAAATTTCGTATATATATGACGCTAACGAAATGGCCACGAGCGCATCATGAGCGTGGCATGTAGTCATGTTGACATCACACGCCTGCCATAATTTTCATGTTAGGGTCTGTCGCTTGTGTTAGCCATGCAATCATGTCATACCATATCAGTTTTGCGACATATCATGTGAACGAAATCACCAGAATTGAGCAGCAAGACCATGAAGTGTAAATCATGACATTCATGGCATACATGTCATGATTTTCATGTTATGACTAGTCAAATACGCTCGTCATACAGTCATGTTATGCCATGTCAAGTTTGGTATCGATACCATTATCCAAACAACCAGGAGAGCTATAAGTCGTAGGCGGCTAGATAGATAGATAGATAGATAGATAGATAGATAGATAGATAGATAGATAGATAGATAGATAGATAGATAGATAGATAGATAGATAGATAGATAGATAGATAGATAGATACGCTTAAAGTCGCCGAAGTTCGCTAAGAAATGCTTCGCATTGAAAAAAAAGTAGTGTTAAAGGTCCTAACGGGCGCTTATCTCCCTACCCTCTAGTCATTTCTCGCGCCTGCCTAGCTTACAGCACACTCGCAGTAAGAAAAAAAAAGAGAGAAGGCGCTTAAAGCGTGCGCGGCAAACCGTTGCAACTCCGCTTGTATTTGACGCAGGCACTGCGCCGTGCTCCCGACCGGGTTGCAGAAATTAGGTGTCTTTTTTCATCTTCTAAACGCTATTTGACGTACTCCGAAAATGTTTGCGGAAGTCGACGATAAGCTAGCTTCTTGTTTTTATGAAGCCGTGAGATGAAAAAGTGTTGTAGTGGCCCGCGAAGTAACTCATGCGAGTGCCACTTATGCGTAAAAAGGAAGATGTTATTTTTTTATTTACCTGCGTAGCGTCATGGGAATCTAAGTGACGTCCTACGTCACTAAATTAATTGTGACGTTCCTGAGCGATTATTTGATTTTAAAGTGGCAATGTAATTGCTCCACGACGCTATAGTTTTTTTCTAAGCTTGTGCGAGTATTCGATCATCTGAATATTCGATCATCTGAATACGAACACGTTTCGATTCGAAATAATATTTTGGATATTTCAAAGTATTCAAAATGAACGAATGGATAATTACAACTCTGCATGTAACCCCCCCCCCCCCCCCCCGCAGAAGTGGTTTCACTGCATTGGTGGAGTGCTTTACCATGATTACACCTTACAAAAAAAAAAAAAAAAAGAAAGAAACACATTGTCGCGAAGTTTCATTCTAAAATTAGATGAACATACTACCCTCACATCGACTTATCCTTTCTTTAAGTTTGAAAGCCTGTTATATTGGCTTACATTCTCTAAGTGTAGTAAATTTTAAAACGTAACATATTTTACAGGTTATCTCTAGGATTCTACTAAAAGTCAAATCCTGCTACTGTTCAAAGTTTCTTTCACTTCCCTTGAACAATAAAAAAAAAAAGACATCTGCACATGCTTTCTTTTAATAAAAAAATGTTCAGGTTATTGGGTCATGACAAATATGCTCACTTTTTTCTATGATATATGTTATACATACTGTAGGCATTCGTTAAGCACATCTACTATCTTTACACATGTTCATCATCATGAGTGGTCGTCATCTTCATCTGCTGTGGGGACTTGGCTTGTTTGAGTTCTGTGCCTTGGGCGTGGTCGCTTCATCGTGTCTTCTGGGCCTAATAAAGGTTGCCTTCACCGTTACATCACAAGTGGTGAAGTGTGCTCTATGATCTTCCGTCCTCTC